AACTATATCTGCTATTCATTTTAAATGAATTATGAATATATTTATATATTTTTCTCCATGACCTGTTGAACTTGAACAAACTATTATAAATTGATTCCAAAAAAGTGAAATATGTAAACAAATTCAGAGACAAAAACTTAAACGCTACTTGCCATGGGCTTAACGGTGGGCTTCAGTCATATTATCTTGAATAATTGAAGTTTTCAATGGAATTGCTAATATAAAATTAGCATATAGTGTCACACCACACTGTAAAAAAAATTACTCGTCAAACTTTTTAGTGACTGGTTACATCTAAATTTTTCGATTGCCTGTTTTTTTTTTTTTTTCAATTGTAGCAACAGCCTATTAACATTGGCCCAATGAGACATAATGTGTTGTGCCAATTGAAAAAAACCAAAAGGTGTGCTCAATCCAATGTCCAGTCCAATGTTATTGGACCAATTAAATATTTTAAATTGTTGTGGCAAACTTTTTGGTTTCTTTTGTAATATTTTTTCTTTTTTGGAGATGAAATGTGTGTATTCCATACAAAATATAAAGCTGGTCGCAATCGAAGTGGTGCGCTTGCAGCATTCCTTTAACTAGATTCCCATGGAAAGTGTGAGTGCATAGCACCGCTCATGCACCACAATCCTAATATTGAAACTAACAAACTTGCGCCTGCAAAGAAGCAGCATGTGAACGGCCCTTAGTTAATAGCCCCAGCCATAGTTAGAGTGTGCATAGGTATTAGTTAATCGAGTCTGCGTAGGTATTAGTCACTGAGTACAAATTTGGAACTTCAAACTAGCGCACCATTGGCGTAAATTTCTTTAGGTGAAACTTTTAGTGTTGGGAAACACCCACACTCTGTCACATCATTCACACACAAACTAGAGCCAATTTGATTTTGTCCAGTTCACTTATTCACAAAGTCAGGGAGAACATAAAAACATCACACACTATATATATATATATATATATATATATATATATATATATATATATATATATATATATATATATATATATATATATATATATATATATATTGTATATAATATTCACCCTTTTGTCTTTTTCAACTTGTGTAAGGCCTAATAAATTCTGACAGAATTATCATATTTAGGCAAACTTTCCCTTTAAGCAAAACAATCTTTTAGTTGATATATAAAAGAGAGTGAAATCCTTGTGGAGCCTTCAAAACCCTGGCTAAAGAAGAAGCTGGTACGTAATTTAATTTCTCCAGCACATAAAGGAGATTACAGCTATGATGGGATTCCAGAGGGCCAGGTAATATCTATCTCATTAGAACAGCTCTCCCAAGTATTCACATGCAGCTTTTCTATGGGGCAGCAGTGGACCCTCTCTTCTTTGCTTGTTCTTGCTGATTGACCTTAGAAGGGCGCTGGAGTGGAAAGGGCCGCACGCTTGTTAGGTATCGAGGGTCTTCTTTAAAACCCAGACCCCGGTGCCCACCCAGCCGAGATGATGGAACATATTTAAGGGGCTAATGGTCTGGCTTGCACAAAGAGCCTGCCTCATTTAACAGCATCAGAAAATAGACTTCAGAGAAGAGGTTTAACCCCGTTAGAGGGAGGGCAGCAAGCTCCTTAACCACGTCTGGGATGGGAGTGAAAAGTCAGGCTGAGGGAGATAAGAAAAGAAAGAAAGAGAGAAAAGAGGGTGTCTTGGAGAAGCTCCCAAGTAGTTGGGATAAGAGGCAAATAAACTAGCGCAAAATCCTGCTGATATTCTCTGCATTTCGCCATTTCATTGATGGAGAATGTGGAGAGATGACTGGACCTTTTTGAGAGAAAAAGAAGAACGGGTTCAAAGCCAGATTGCTCACTTTTGCACCATTTTTTGTGTCACTATCCCGTGTGTAAGGACTGCGTTGTTGTGTTTGATTTTGATTTCTAGATTGGGGGCGTGCGTTCAGCGCACCTGATGAAGGTCAGCGCCCTTATTTAAACCCGGGCAGAGAGCTTGTCAGGGCCGCTGTCCATTCACTCGGCAGTTGGCCAGAGCTGCACTCCAATTTGGACATTATGCTTTGCTTCGCATCCATACATTATCACTGACAACATTTACCGTATCCATACACTTGCATTCCACACTGATTGAACATACTGATACTGATATTTTGATTATATAATTAAAATTGAGTTAAATTTTTATTTATTTTTTTTTAAATACTTTTTGATTATACTTCTCCTTGTCTGCTCCCTTACTATGTTATATCCCTGAGCCAGGTGTAACACCGTGTATCCATTTATCTAGCTGGTATTTAAACAATACTCTCTGCAGTAGTTGGGGTATATGTCTCTCGTAGCCCTTTGCAGTCTCTTTCTTCTGCCAAAAAACAATCATTTGAGCTCAAATCAATAATTAATGTTCATTTATTTACTTGCTTGGCAAGTGGCCAAGTAAAGGATAGTGTTCAGCCAACCCTTCTTTCTTTTGTAAAATTCTTTTTGTAAAATTCCCTCCTTGGAAGTCTTGATCACACTTTTATTCCTAATAGAAATAATTCACACAACATTGTTATTCAGTGACTCTGATAACATTCAGAATCTGTAAAAAAAAATGCTGTGTGTCCATGGGGTGTCAAGTATTAACAGTTGATAAATCAATTCTGAGAAAATTAAGGCCCTTAAAAGGCCCTTAGTTGCGTTTTTACGAGGTCTTAATTTTTGTTCAAGAGTTGTCCAAAGTGTTTGATTCCAAAAAAAAGCATAAATATATTTATTTTTTCTCCTAATATTGACAATGGCATGCTCAATCTACGCAATTGGTTCAGGCTGGGAAAAGCTCCTCCGTCCGAGTGATGTCACGTAATTTGCAACAAACAAGAAAAGTTGATGTGACGCTCTCTACATGTAGCAAAACCATATAGCAAAACACTCGGCAAAATAGAAAAATTTAAGTTTGAGTACTCCTGGTTGGAGAAAGATGAGTTTAAACAGTGGCTGAAGCCTGTTGCTGAAAACAACCGCATAATTTATTCTTTCAAGCTTTGTTTCTTCAGAGCTTATCTGAGTTCTGTTGCATGGTTGTGCTCCATTGATTTATTTTAACTACATCTGTTTATTAAGTTAAAGGTTTGATACTGACTAGAACTTGAAGTGGCGAGGAGGTCTTCAAATATTCTGAGAAGGTCTTTAAAAAGTCTTAAAAAGCTATTGAATTACTTTTAGGATTCCTGCATATACCGTGATAAAATATATGGTAACACTTTATTTGAATTATATTTTGAATATTTTTTTTGTAGTGTTTTATTTAATAATACTATGAAAGTCAGTGGCAAAATAGTCAAAATAAGGTGGACAATTACTCAATTTGTTTTTGTTGCTCACAAAGAAACTTGTTAGAGCATTAGGATGAGCAGCTCTTGACAGAATTTTCATTTATGGGTGAAGTGTCCCTCTAAATGAGTGTATCAGTCAGTTGTCAACTTGCATTTTTAAAAGTTGATTGCGCTGATTTTAGCTTTCAGTGCACTGTGCAATGCCCATTTGTGCCCGTAAATCTCTGCACAGCTTTACGCTTCCCTTCCCGGCAAATCCATTCACTCACCCACAGCTGCGAATTGCCGTCATACTGAGCGACAGATATGAGGCAGGCAGCCGTAGCGCTTCGCACAAAACAGATTTCAACAGAGCCGAAATCTCATCCGTTTGCTCTCCCTATCCGCTTCACATCCATGATGGCCTGTGCGCATATGTGTGTGTGAAGTTCAACCATCTGAGCCCCGCTAATGAGCACAACTCATTTCCCTGTGTTTCCAACAGGCCCGTCAAGGGAGTAGCGTCAGTTTGCGCGTGAATCCGGGTGCACTCGTGAACATTTGTGTACCCGTGTAAGCGAATGCGCCTGCCCCGGGGGTGTTGTTTTCGGAGGGGGTCAGGCTGATCGCTGACACGGTGTGAAACATCTCATTGAGATGCGGTCAAGGGGGCCGGCGAGAGCCCGCTGGTGAAAAATCACACAGAGCGCAGCTAATGAGCACGACTCTGCAAATAGTGAAACGTGCCAGGAAATAACCCAGCCCTTCTGAAACCGCTCTCAGCACTTTAACTCGGGCCCTCTCGCTCTTTTGAGAGCTCCGGCCTCCTCTGGGTTTTTCCCCCCGTGCTGCTCCGTCGCCCGTCTTATCTGCATCTGGAGCTCAGAAGCACAGCAGTCACGCTCCGTGGAGAGCAGAGTGTTGAAGTGCGTCTCGCATCTCCCGAGGCTGTTATCTTCAAGTTGATGAGCTCTTTGCTCTGCGAACATTACCCCGACTGCACCTGCCACAATCGAAGCGTTTTTGCCCGTTTTGCTATTGAAGTCACGCCTGATCAAAAGAGCTAGCGCAGTCCACCAGTTAATGAGATCAACTCCATTAGTGGCGATTCTCCCTCTATCTCTCGACGCAAAAACTACAGCAGTTTCACTGAGAAACCTTCCTGCAGGCGTTGAATCACAGTGACCCCGCTCACAGTAAGCTACCTGCTTCTGACACTGTAATTAGCTCCATCAGGCATTAGCATGCGTCTCGCTGAGCAGGAATAGCTGTCTGGTCTTTGCCGTGTTTGCCCACCTTTGGTGGAATAAATGCATGCAGAAGTAGGCGCTGGGCTGGGGGCCGTGAGGCTGGATTGATTGTCCGGTGTGTCGGCGGGCGTAGAGAGCGGCTGTAATCAGCTCAATCAGCCCTGGGCTCGGATGGGGGGGGCTGTGTGCGTTGAGTGCTTGTTGCAAGAGCGACTCTGTTTAGCCCATGCTTCAGCAGACACAGGTGCTCCTGGTGACATCAGCGTAGCGAGGGTCACATAAGGGCTATAATTTAGCCAATCAGGGAGCAGCAGGGGCCGTCTGGCACTCTGATGGGTTCATCAAGATACTCCCGCGCTATGTGTAATGGAGCAAAGCTGTTCATATGCAGACTCACACGAGAAATGGAAATACTTTTCCCACTTACTTTGATGTTCTTATACTTAATATTCTGCTTCTCTCTCTTTCTCCTTTTGCAGCGGGAACCACATACATATTCGGACGTGATGGAGGGCTTATTGTGTACACATGGCCACCCAACGACAGACCGAGCACACGAGCTGACCGACTGGCTGTCGGTTTTAGTACCCAGCAGAAGGATGCAGTGCTGGTTAGGGTGGACAGCTCTTCTGGCCTGGGAGACTACCTTCAGCTTCAGATTGTGAGTCTTACACAAACAAACACACTTTTACAGTTTTGTTGAGAAATCTGAGCCCAAATGCATGTATTAAGAGTTGATTTAGCATTTAGTGCCAACTTTTGGTTTGATGCAATCCTTTTTGTTTTGTTTTGGAGCAAGTGTCTTCATCTCTTAAAGTTTGAATGAATCATTTGTCACACTTATTGTGTAAAGTTGATACATGCATTTACAGTGTATTTGTGGTTAAAATATATGTTCATAATTACTGCTGTTATTTTTCTGGAAACATGTTTAGTTACGCTGTTGGTCCTACACATTAAAAAAGCAATTATTTATTTTAATTAAAAAATGATTAAGCCCATTAAGTCTCAAAAGCGCCAAGTTGTCTTTATGTGAAAGACAGAGTAAGTAAGGTAAAAAAAACAAAAAAAATTCCAAAATCAAACCAAAAGTGCTCAGGGGTTGCTTAAATAATGTGTCGGTGCACTTTGGGTATGGAATTCATCAGAATAAACAGCAAAATGCTGTCTAAGGCACTTGGAAAATGTGGAAAAAATATGAAAGTCTTTATTTACATGGCTATTCCTTAAAAAAGGCACAGTTTTAAGGAATAGTCGTGTCAGTAAAGGGTCTTTAATATTTTTTCCACATTTTTCGACTGACTTTTGCTGCTTAAACCTATTGTAACATGGAAGTGTCAAGTTGACATTACTACATTTTTATAATGATGCACATTATTTAATCATTTTAAGGCAATGGGTTTACTCTTTTTTTTTTTTAAGTAAAGTCTTCTAATCACTTTTTACAGTGTACACCTTACTCTTAAATCACCCTTAAGGATGAATTTACTCTCAAAAATAATCGCGTTAAAATTGCACATTTTTTTTTGGCATTCTTGCATGAAACTTCACACAAGTTTTAAATGTCAGTGAAAGTAAGCAGTATATCAGCATATTGGGTCTGTGATGTTAAATTTAGGATGTAGTGACGTACAGAATACCCAGAAGAAATTTCAGTATTACAGTCAGTGAGTTTGAGGGCAGTTTAGTGTATTAACAATTAATGTTATTTGATATACATGTATACTGTATACTAGTTAGTCTTTTCTGTAAAGTGGGACCCTTTAATGCAGTATGAACAAGCCACATGAAGTTTCTGTCCAACAAGAAAGAATGACTTACCATCTGTACAAAAAAAGGTCGCAAGTGATGAACAAAATTGGGTGTACACGTTCCACACTAACCCATTACGTTTTTGAAAAAGGTACTGTAGTAACGTAACGAAATACATTTTAAATTTGTGTAATTTGATTACAGTTACTAAAGTCAGTGTAATTGCATTACTTGCGTTACAAATACAGTTTTTGAAAGAAAGAAAATGCTTCCTTTAAATCAGGTTTTCTGCTGCAACGTCAGTTAATAAGCATGCACTTTTAAATTGCTGGAGAATGCCAGCTGAAACGGTTTCTGTCAAGAGTAGCTGCTTTGTCAAGTGACAATAAAGACATTACTTTGATTTCATTGAGCGTAAAAACAAAAATATTGCTGTGAAATGTAGTCTAAAGAACTTTCGACTGCTTTTAACTCCACCAGCAACTTGTTCAGCACTTGAGTAGAAAACATTCTATGACAATACTCATCACCAAGGAGGACATTAGCGCAAACTCAGCCTAAACGGGCTAAATTCAATTTTTGTGCAGGATCAGGAGTGAAGGTACTTCCTGAATGTGAAGAGAAGCTTATGGGGCCGTTCACATATCACGTTTTTTTTTTTACGCGTGCTTATTGGGAGTGCATATTTAGCATGCTTGCATTTCCGAGGCGCTCACAGTTGAAAACCGTGAGTCACTTGACCGATCAGCTTCATACTTTGTAAACTAACTACACATTTAGTTCGACTAATTACCTCCGACAAACACAGAACTGCAGTGCTTTTGCATACTATGGATGTCAATAATTAAAAGTATCCAGTTTTCTTCTAAATATCTTCATTGTGTAAAAAAAAAAAAAAAAAAAAAAGGATTGGAAAAAGTGAATAAGAGTATTTTAAGTTTTCAAGTAAGTAAATTTTAAGTCTTTAAGTATTTTGAATATGTCAAGCTGCTGTGATTAACCCTTTGTAAGTTTTTGTGGATATTAAATTATTGAAAGAGCTGCAGTTTATTTTGTATTTTTATAGGTTCATTTTATAAGTAAAGTAATTAGTAATCTGATTACTTTTTTACAAAAGTAATTAGTAATATAATAAGATCCAGTAGTAATCAGTCATTTTTAATCTATTACTTTTTTAAAGTAACTTACCCAACACTGGTGTACTAATTTTGGCAAAGCAAAAATTTAGATTTTTTTTTCCAACTTTTAAACTATTTCTCAGGTTTAAATCGACTTTTGGACTCAACTGTTTGAACTTGCTCAAACCTACACAGATTCTCCTGAGAATTCCTGCTGTTCATTCATTCTCGCGCAAACCCCAGAGCAGAAATTCACGGAGAATCACGCTCCCGAAGAGCCCTGTGAATGATCATTAGGGTAATCATGGTGTTCTACGCCTCCTCCAACACTCAAAGTGCTGGTCTGTTTTAGAAAGTTCCAGCGCCTCAGACCGCCCTCATGAATAAAATCTGTATAATGTTCAGAATAGAAGCCGCTACCAACGCTTGCTCAGAGGATGCTATTTGATAGAACCCGCATTTCCTATGACATGCTGTGCTGGAGGAGTGGGAGGTGGAGGAGGTGGAGGCAAGGGGGACGGGGAAGTGTTTGGCACTGAGCTTCGAAGAGTTGTGTATGTTTTTTATTTATTTATTTTTTGTTCGTTCTTATTTTTTAACACCCACTCCTGCTGTAATCACAAACTTGATTCCCAGAAGAATCAGCGAGCTCTCAGGGGTGGCATCATGGCGTGACTGTTGCACGACTGCCTCAGCAAATGCGTTCTATGCACGGTGAGGTAATGATTTCTCCAGCTGAGCCCTGAGTTTACGATGCATGCTGGTGTCTATACATGACTTAAGCCTCAGTGCTGCAATGCATCGACATATTTAACACTTTCATTTATAGGGGAAAGTCCACCTACATATAAAGTATTATAAGATTACAGTATTTACTCACCCGTATGTCAATTCCAAATATGTATGTTTGTTTTTTTTCATGAAACATTCATAATATAATTAAAGGAAATGAGGACCTAATAACATCATACTGTAAATATAATTTTCTGTAATTATATGTAATCAACCTTGTCCCGTTTTTCTGAATTTATGAGCATATTTCTGTCCTGTCAACTGAATGTTTGGACATATTCTTCTAGTTTTTTGTCAATAAAAACATATTTTCATTTCAGTAAATTGTTACATACAGTGCTTAGTATAATTGAGTACACCCCATTTGAAAATGAATATTTTTATTAATTTCTCAGTGAATATAAGCAATGTATTTTGGTCAATTTATTCAAAACAGATTTATTAAACAGATGTATTTATTAAAATAATGTTTTAGTTACCGGACATACTTAGAAATTGAAAGATAATACAATTAAATTCCAGCAAAATATTGCAAAATATAACAACCTACAAATATATATATATATATATATATATATATATATATATATATATATATATATATATATATATATATATATATAAAATAATTAGTATTTAAAAAATGTTCTATAACATATAAGTTTGGGTGTACTAGGTGGACCGTTATCGAAAGTTATTTTGCTAGGTTAGCTGCAGATTTGGCTTCAGTACTGACTAATCAAATGCATATACATAAATATCATATTGTATAGCTTTCTATACAATATTAAGAATATTAATTTAAAATATATAGTTTTGTGAGGGGTGTACTTATTGGATTTAATCAATAAGCAAGGTAAGCAGCCACTTAGGGCCTCAGAAAATCTGAGAGCCCCCAAATAAATACCTTGAATTATACCTGTAAATTATATATAACATTACTTTCTATTGTATTTGGTATATTCAGGGTCTAAAAATTTTGATTTGTACAAATGTGTCTCCCACCCTCAATCATGGACCAGTCCAACAGTCAAATCAGTTAAAGATTTAGTTTTTGAAAAACAAAACAGTTGATTTATTATTTTTAGCTGCGAATTAATTTTAAGAAAACAAATCCTTTCAAAAGTTTTACAAGATGTTACAAGATGCTTTACTTGTTATTATTTTGCAATAAGATAAAATGTAGAAAAGGAGAACGAGAAGAAAAAACTGCAAAATAAATAAAAAATACATTAAGATACAAAAGGTGCATTTTAGAACTTTTGGGCCCCATGCCTGGAATTGCTTTAGGACCCCCAAATCACTAAATCCGCCGCTGGGTGTACTTATGCACTGTAGTTACATAATCATGAATTGTTTTGTCTAAAAACAAACAATTTTAAGCATAAATAAAGGAAATGTTAACTCGTATGCATTTATTTATTTTTATTTTTTTGCTTCATCTAGTTTTTTTTTATATAATATATAGACTACATGTCATAGAAATGAACACACTCCCCATATACTGTAACAGTGAAAATGTTTTATGCAATTCCAAAAATGTAATTATGATGATAATAATAATAATAATAATAATAATAATAATAACAGCGACTTACTAGAACAAAATGTATTGTTTTGTCTCTCTTTTTTTTGACAGATTAAATTCAGGGTTTCTGCAGGTTTCATTAAGTCAAATTTAAGACTTAGAGACACTTTTAAGACAATTATGAATGAAATTTTAGACTTGCACATGAGGGCTTAACAATAATGATTATTTTTTAATGGTCTGGTTGTTGTTTTTTCTTGCCATAAAATCAAATGTAACTATTCTTTAGCGACACACTTTAGATGTCAAAACAAAAAACTAGTATACACTATTTTCAACATAATATTACTTTTCTTTTTTTTTCTTGTCATTTTTAATGACAGGTTTAACATTGTTAAAGTATATTTGTTGTGAAGGCAATTATATAAATAATTAAAAATATATATTTGTTGGCTTTTGGTCTAAATTGAG